GTCATTTGAGGACACATTGTAATATAGAGATCTAAAAAACAAACCGTGTCTGCTAAGAACAAGCATTCCTGAGTGATACTCTGGTTGGATCAATATTGTGTTTCCTTTGCCTTAGTTTATTTTTTGCTTGTTTTCCCTCCATGATAGCATCACAGGTCACTTATCCAAAACCAGAGGGAAGAGTTTATCTGTGACCGGCCCATGTTAGGCCACAAATATTTCATTAACATCATCCAACAGTGGATAACTAATTCTATTTATTTTTTACTGTGAATGTTTGAATGCATGACTTGTAGCCAAAGAGGTTTGAATGCAAACCATGGAAGCAGGAAGAGCTGAGAATCCATGCACTGCTTCTAAAACACAGGGCTAAAGTATAAAAAGCAAACAAAAAACAAAACACAGCACGAAGAACCGACGCTCACACATAAAAGGAGTCTGACAGGAAGTTAATGTTTCTGTGGACTGAGGTTAATAAACACTTAAAGACTCAAACAGCACAGTTCAAGCTCTATAAACAGGTTGCTGCGTGACAGGGTGCATCACTTCCCTGTTGACTTTTTTTCGGAAGAATTTGCATTGCAGGTATTTGCATGGATCACAAAAGTCTTAACTCTCAACTTTTAATATTCTCAAAGCTCCTCGAAGCTTGGCGAAGAAGCAAATTACTTCTTGAAGCAGGCGTCACGAAGGAGCAGTGACGACAACATAAAACTTCAGAAAACATTATTCTACATGCTGTCTTTGTGATTTTGGGTCAAAATTGGAAAAGTTGAATGAAAGCTGCTGATTTAAGGGGACCAATAAAGCCCACATAGACTGTATGTAAAAGATAAGATAAGATAAAAAGAACTTTATTTATCCCGAGGGAAATTCTTTTGTCATACACATGCTCAATGCAGCAAGAGAGACAGAGGAGCAGAGGAATAAGATATACAATATGTACAATAGAATACAAGTATACAGTAATATACAGTAGGATAGTGCAAAATATAATATCAAATAACTGTAACAAGTAACAATACAAATATATCCTGGATATAGATGGATAAACTGATCGAGCCTAATTCTAGACTAGATCCTCTGTTCATTTTTTGCCATGTCTGTCTGCACTGAAATAACTTGTCTTTAAATCAACACACTTTTCCTTCTCCTCCTCTGTTGGGAGTGACAAGTGACTTTCAGAGAAACAAGTCAGGCACATGCAAACTTAAGAAAACATCCTGATGGATTTCCATGTGACCTCTAAGATACTATTTCCAGAGCACATCCCTGTTTGATCCCATGCTGCTGGGAAATTTACTCACATACTTATTAAGCAAATTTGTCCTTGTCACTTTAACAGGGTCAGTGGTTTATCAGCTAAGTCCATGAAAGTACTGACTTCTGTGTATGTGTCTCCATGCTTTCAGGGCAGTAAGCAGCCTGTAATGAGTGCAAAGAGACACTTGCTCAGAGGTGGTCTCACTTAGTGAATCTTTTACCAGTTTTTCTTTCACTTGTGTCAAACAATGCTTAAGCTTGCAGAACTGTACACTCACATTTCCACCATTCAAATGCATCAAAAGTTTTGTAAAAAATGACACTTAAAAAAAATTGAACATATTTTTTTTTATCTTGAAACGCACCACAGCCGGGGCCATCGCTGACCTACTACAACAAAGGAGCGTCCAGAGTGGCTTCTCCATTTCCTAATGAAACTGTAGACTGTCACTAAATCTGCTTTCGTGCCCCCGTCTCTCTCGAAGAGAGGACAGAGCCAGGAACCACCGTTAAATAATGACAATAAACTTTCCCATCCTGTCACAGTGGAGCTCTGCCTCATTAAAAATAAAGACATCAGATGCTGTACATTTGCATTTAGACCAAGTCCTTATCAGAACGGTGCTCACTTCAGTATAATTAAAGGGATGATGCAACATTCCTACCAGCATGTTAGAAAGTTATTTACTGTGTTGACTGAATGAAAATAACCATATAAATTTGTTAATCAAACCCTTTTTGAATAACAAATGTGAATTCAATAGAAAGTAAGTTTAGAAACAGACGATGATTACACTGTACAAAGTTATTTTTAACTATATGATGTCGTTTTTTTGGATGAGAGCTTTGTTTCCAGTCAAACTCTCACATATTTACTGTGACAAAATAAAACAATATCAAACTTGTCCACTTGCAACATACTTGCAGTGAATGGCACATATCTCCCGACAGGACAGATGTTTATGTTTTCAGAAATCTCACTACCTTTATTTAATATCATATACTTTACAAGTATAAATGTTTTTTGTTCTTTTTTTTTCTTTCTTTGTCTCACCTGTAGTGCTGGCTCCGTTGCTCTCCTCAAGCTTAGCGCTTGGTCGAGTCGTATCTACCGCTGAAGTTTGGGTACTGGTGGAGCATCCCATCCTGCCCTGTGCACACAGAGGACTGTGAGCTCAAAGTTGAGAGGTGAGGACTGACTGTGCCTGCACTGATGACGTCGTGCATATATATCGCTTCTGTAAAATGAGAAACCCTCGGAGGACGCACCGTCTGGTCGCTAAATTCCTTCAGTCCCGTGCGTAATTACGCACATTTCCTGCAATAAACGGCTTCAGGTTGTTGTGTTGTGGTTGCAGGTCTCCAGTTGGCAATGTTGGCTTTTGTTGTGTACTGTAACTTAGGCTGTTTCCCTGAGGCTGGCTCAGGGACGAAAATACATTATTCAGTCAGAGCGCAAAGGCCACCTCTTGGGGCGGGGAAAGTGAAGCGCGACGCTCTCGCCACACCAACAAATAGCTCTACTGCCGACGTGCCACTGAGCAAACATCAATAGTAAATAATAACAATAGTAAATAGCCCTAATGCTGGTAGAGAATAGCTTACAAAATATTTAATTTAGCCTTGAGTTTGTCATTTTTATATTAATTAGCTTGCTTAACTGTAATATTAGAATTTAAGTCAAGATCATTTTAATTATATAGCAGACAGTCGTTGACCCAAAATGCTTAACAGGCGCACACATCTGTAATTCAGGTCTCAAGAGCCTAATTGTATAATTACATTTACATAAACAGACAACATAATAAAACGGATAATTAAAAAATAATAACAAAAACATATATATATATAAAAACAGTCAAAATAATAGAAAACATTTGTGTGACCAATCCACGCGGGACCTCAGACTTGCCTAAAAGCAACTGAAAATATGTTGGTCTTAAGAGCTGATTTAATTTTTGAAATTGTTGAAGTTCTTATGAGGTGTGGCAAACTATTCCAGAGTTGGGGGAGCAATGTCAGCATTTAGTTTTTAAACATGAAGATGGCACTGAACTCAATGAACTCGAGGCAAATTACGGAGTTAAAAAGATTCCATTCACCATTTGATTGCCAGAACTATAGAAAATATTCATAACAAACCAAACTAATAATCGATGATTGATTTGATACTAAAAATCGACTTAAAGCAGCCTAATTACATTAAAAGTAGGACACTGGGTGAAGAGGACTCAGTTAGATCGCTGCACTGGATTTCAAAATAAAAGCACAACCGTTCGGAAGTATAATCTTTAAACAACACACCGCTTTTTAACACTGATTAAAAATAGTTAATCTTCTGAGTTATTATTTATTATATTATACAAATGACATTTAGTTGCATGAATCCATTTATGTATTGCTTTTAATATTTAGGCATACTAACTGACTACCATAATACACATTTTTTTAATGTAAAACACCACAGATTTACTTAAGTTTGGCTATAACATATTGTTTAATTAATTAATTTTTTAGTAAAAGGCTAAGTAAAATATTTCAAATAGACGTATCTATTATATCTCACTGCAGAAGAATCTGAAAACTACCCTTAGCCGCCTGCCCAGTCCTGTTCTGCGCATGCTCGCCGAAGTGATACGAGCGCAGTGCACCATGGGACTTCCTTTCTCTCCGAGGCCATATTGGAGTTAACTCACAGTAAGACGAGCTCCGAGTTTTATTTATAAAATAAATATGATTTTCGCCACATTTTCACATTTTGCTGTGACCCACTCTTTAACGACAGTCCTCTACTATCCTCCTTCTGCCCGCAGGTTGGCCGGTCCGGACTAAACCGCAAACATGGTGGCCGCAAAGAAGACGGTGAGCGAGGCCGGAGTGCACGCGCTACTGCACGGCCAGGCTTCACGTGGAGACGTGTAACTGCCGGGGCCTGCTAGCTAGCGTTGTAGTACTCCGCTTAAAACTTGATATTTCTACTCAGTGTCGTGTCGCTTAGTGTTGATTTATTGCTGCTTTAAATCTTAGAAAATACTTGATTGTTATGACAGTGTTTATTAGTGGCCGCCCGTTTAGTTCATGTTTAACTGTACCGGCAGTAGAGCTAATGCTAATCCATAAAATCTAACAGAAAATGACGACAACAACGTGGACCCTTCCCCCTTTAATATAAAGTTAAAACATGTTTAAATGTGTGCGCTTTTTATGTGTCCTATTATAGTTGTCATATTTATTATATTCGATATGTAGTGGAGTGTGAGAGGTGTGTAGCTCCTGTGCTGTCACAGACTTCAGATTTTGATATATGTGTGTGTGTCTGTGTTCAGAAAAAGTCTATGGAGTCCATCAACTCCCGTCTCCAGCTGGTGATGAAAAGCGGAAAATACGTCCTGGGCTACAAACAGTCCCAGAAGATGATCCGTCAGGGAAAAGCCAAGTTGGTTATCCTGGCCAACAACTGCCCAGCTCTCAGGTATTAAGACTTTCCTAAATATATTTTTCTACACACTATTTTAGCTAAGGAATTGAAAGGGATTCAGTGTGCTACAAAGAACTATGACAAGTTTAACAATAAAGGGAATTCTTTATTTCTTTATTTTTAAAAAATCGAATTTAAGTGAAGTGAGGTTAATTAATAGGAGGGCACTGATGCAAACATAAATTGGTATTGCCTTATTGAGATGCTACATATGTGCTAGTGAATAAGACAACATTCACCAGTGAATGTTTCCATTGTTTGTTGTTTCACATCAGTATTATTCAGGCTAAATGTTCAAAGATGGTGTAATAATGAGCAAAAACATAAATAGTTCAACTAATTTTTCATAGTAAGAATCTGTGTACCTGCAAAGTAAATGACCAATTATCAACACTTTCTCTAAATCTTACTGCATTGATCATAGTGTATGTATATATGTCTGTTGTACCCTGCCGCCATTGCCACTCTGAACAAAATTTTACACAAACGTCGTCACACATGGAGAGGTTATTTAGAAATTATACACCCCAGTTGTTTGGATTTTCATATCTATTATCTTCCTGTGAAGGTGGTGATACGTTTTCCGTTTGTGTGTGTTTGGTTTAACATACGTTGCTTGGATGCCAAAGTACCCAGAATTTATTTCTGTGATGTCATTTTGTTCGACTCATCGCTAATAGGGAGTTAAGAATTTGAAAAGATGCTGCAGGCGTGGGGCAGGTGGTCTATCAGATAGTTGGTCCCATCCTTGTAATTTCTGTGCAGGTTGGAAGGTTGTACTCGTTGCGCTGTCTTTTAGTGCGGAGGCACAAAAGTATACATGTGTAAACTTAATTTTGGGTAGGTAAGGACAGCTACATGTTTGATGTAATCATACTCATGTGATACAGCTAGTAGATGCCCCTCATAATTCAGAAAAGTTTGGGATCTCTGCTATTTATTGTACACTAATTGCCTCCAATATTGATTTGTAGAATATGCTGAGATAATCATTACAATTTTAACAAATTTCATCTAAATGTTGATTATAAATTGGTTAACTAAAAAAAACAATGTGCAGAAACTTCTCTACAGTCAGTATAATCACATGTTAGAAGGATCTATGGCTGTACTTATCTGCACTTGTTTCTTTATATTTTAAATTGTCTTGTGTCAGCTTTACCCTTTGTTGCAGTATTTGACCACATGTGCGTTTGGCTCACATTTACCTTTATTACCTGTCCAGGAAATCTGAGATTGAATACTATGCTATGCTGGCCAAGACTGGTGTCCACCACTACAGTGGAAACAACATCGAGTTGGGCACAGCCTGCGGCAAATACTACAGGGTTTGCACACTGGCTATCATCGACCCTGGTGAGTACTCATTTTTGTTGTGAAACCCATCTTCACTGAACCATTTCTTCACCTCCACAGGAATTAGATGTTATATACACTGTGGGAGAAAGTGTTTAAAAAAGCCCAGTGGGATGTTTGAGGCACCAGCTGGTGTGCATCACTGCCTGCAAATTTGTGGGCGGCGAGTTCACAAACATAAATCTAAAAGAATTTCAGCCAAAACAATATTTTAGTTCTCTAGGAGGTATTAAACGTTCCAGATGTAACTATCTTAGTTAACAAGTACTAGAGGGACACTATTTAACACATAAGATGGAGAGTAGCCAGGAGGGAATGATTGTTTATAGGTCTTTGTTTTAGCAGCCTGCTCTTTGTTTGAAAATCCACTGTAACAAATGACCAGAATCCATGAATCAGCATCACATTCAAAACAAGCTTTAAAATGACAGTAAATATCTCAAAAGTGACAGATCTGACACTGATATGCTGGACTTCCCTGGGGAGTAGATTGACAATTTCCCCCCCCCCCCCCTTGAGCCCGTTAGAGGCAGATGCTGTCGCTAGTCCCACTCAGGACTAGTGGTTTGCTAGATGAATGCTATATAGAGATCTTCCAGTGGCAACATTTATCCTCACAATGTCATTATTGTTTTATTTGTGTGGGGTATTTAAAGACATGCAGCATTTCTTCAGGCGGTATAAGTGTGTGTCTTTGTATATGTGGCAGTGACTCTGACTCTGCTCCTCTTTTCCTCTTCAGGCGATTCTGACATCATCAGGAGCATGCCGGAACAGCAGCAGCCTGCTCAGTAGATCTGTTGTTATAAATAAAGTTGGTGTTAACAGAAAGAAGCTGCTGTCTTTTCATTTCTGATTGCTGTAACCTTTTCTCTCCTGTGTAGACAGTTAAAGGAAGCTGTTTAAAGAGGTCTTTCTTCATAGGATTGTCACCTCATAAACCATCAGGATCTGACCATTTATCACACAGTCAAAATTATGCCATTTCATTTTGTTTCCCCCTCACTTACATAAAGCTTCGGGATGACCGTGTGCTGCACTGTGACTGTAATTGCGTAAGGACACTTCAGTCACAGGCATTAAAGGCTTTAAAAGGTGATGGCTACATTTGTTACACATTCAGTCCTCTGGATCGTCAATGCTAGAACCAAAAACAAAGTGGTGCAGGGTCTCTTGTAAACCTAGCTGACTTGATTTTTAAAATAAACCCCTTCTCTAAATGCAGACTTAATAAATTTAGCCTCCTGGTTGTCAGTCACTCTTTAAAAGCCTCGGATTAATATTGTCGATTTAATCTTTTATGTAACTGATCTGGAGATTTTAACCGGCAGAACAAGTGTAGGTGATGAGCAGCATCATTTCTCAGCGCTTGTGTAACGTCAGTATGTTGGACAAGTCTTGTATGCTGTGAGTTCACATGTAGCAGGGCTCCCAGCAGTCACTGAAACGCATAACTGGTGTTAACCAATCCATGAGGCTGTGGAGTTTCTGTGTAGCTTTTTACTTCTACAGAGGTCACGGCGCGGCCACAAAAATCCTCTGCTGTAGCGGATGCCTTGCTGAAGGGCAGTTTGGTAGCGTGGGTGGATAAAGCTG